GTGAGTGTGTGTGTCTGTGTGTGTGTGTGTGTGTCTGTGAGTGTGTGTGTGTGTGTCTGTGAGTGTGTGTGTGTGTGTCTGTCTGTGAGTGTGTGTGTGAGTGTGTGTGTGTGTGTCTGTGAGTGTGTGTGTCTGTGTGTGTGTCTGTGAGTGTGTGTGTGTCTGTGTGTGTGTGTGTGTGTGTGTCTGTGAGTGTGTGTGTGTGTGTGTCTGTCTGTGAGTGTGTGTGTCTGTGTGTGTGTGTGTGTCTGTCTGTGAGTGTGTGTGTGTGTGAGTGTGTGTCTGTCTGTGTGTGTCTGTGTGTGTGTGTGTCTGTCTGTGTGTGTGTGTGTGTGTGTGTGTGTGTGTGTGTCTGTGCGTGTGTGTGTGTCTGTCTGTGAGTGTGTGTGTGTTTGTCTGTCTGTGAGTGTGTGTGTGTGTGTCTGTCTGTGAGTGTGTGTGTGTGTCTGTCTGTGTGTCTGTGAGTGTGTGTGTGTGTGTGTGTCTGTCTGTGAGTGTGTGTGTATATCTCTGTGTCTGTGTGTGTGTGTGTCTGTCTGTCTGTCTGTGAGTGTGTGTGTCTGTCTGTGTGTCTGTGTGTGTGTGTGTCTGTCTGTCTGTCTGTGAGTGTGTGTGTCTGTCTGTCTGTCTGTGAGTGTGTGTGTATATCTCTGTGTGTGTGTGTGTCTGTCTGTCTGTCTGTGAGTGTGTGTGTGTCTGTCTGTGAGTGTGTGTGTGTGTGTGTGTCTGTCTGTGAGTGTGTGTGTATATCTCTGTGTCTGTGTGTGTCTGTGATTGTGTGTGTGTGTGTCTGTCTGTGAGTGTGTGTGTGTCTGTGAGTGTGTGTGTCTGTCTCTGTTTGTGTGTGTCTGTGTGTGTGTGTGTGTGTGTGTGTGTGTGTGTGTCTGTCTCTCTGTGTTTGTGTCTCTGTGTCTGTGTCTGTGTGTCTCTGTGTGTGTCTTTGTCTCTGTGTGTGTGTGTGTCTCTTTCCCTCTCTGTGTGTCTCTCTCTTTGTGTGTTTGTGTCTCTGTATGTGTGTGTGTGTGTGTCTGTCTGTGTGTGTGTGTGTGTGTGTGTCTATCTCTCTGTGTGTGTCTCTGTCTCTCTGTGTGTGTCTCCATCTGTGTGTGTATCTCTCTTTGTGAGTGTCCTTGTGTCTGTTTGTGTGTGTGTCTCTCTCTCCCTGTGTGTGTGTCTTGGTCTGTGTGTGTGTGTCTTTTTGTGTTAAATTCACACACTGATTTACCGCTGCTACAGTCACAGAAGTTACGTATTTTTTCAATGTTTCCTTTTTATTTGTTTTTTTTGTTCCAGGATCAAAAACACATTCACCAAGAAAATAGTTCATATAAATCACCTTCATTCATCCATATCTTTGTGACATTTTGTGTAGGGAAATGGAAACGGGGCTTTATCTAAAAATGATAGTGTATCGATTGTCCGAAGAGATGTGGATGCAATAATGAAAAAAGGCCTCGGTAATAAATTGGGTGCGAGAGAGTCGGCCTAAAGCGAATCTAAAATCAATGAGAAAAGCAAATATTATATGTGTTGTGTTACAGGTTTAGGAGTGTGGTGCTGTGCTGATACTTAATCCAATTTATGTGTGTATCGCCCAAAATCTCAACAGTAGTTGCTTGTAAAGTTGTGGATTTTTCAACAACAGATCAGAGAATTAAACTGTTAAAACAAAGGACTGAGGCTGTAGATCCAGGACTGAGGCTGTAGATCCAGGACTGAGGCTGTAGATCCAGGACTGAGGCTGTAGACCCAGGACTGAGGCTGTAGATCCAGGACTGAGGCTGTAGACCCAGGACTGAGGCTGTAGACCCAGGACTGAGGCTGTAGATCCAGGACTGAGGCTGTAGACCCAGGACTGAGGCTGTAGACCCAGGACTGAGGCTGTAGATCCAGGACTGAGGCTGTAGACCCAGGACTGAGGCTGTAGACCCAGGACTGAGGCTGTAGATCCAGGACTGAGGCTGTAGACCCAGGACTGAGGCTGTAGATCCAGGACTGAGGCTGTAGACCCAGGACTGAGGCTGTAGACCCAGGACTGAGGCTGTAGATCCAGGACTGAGGCTGTAGACCCAGGACTGAGGCTGTAGATCCAGGACTGAGGCTGTAGATCCAGGACTGAGGCTGTAGACCCAGGACTGAGGCTGTAGACCCAGGACTGAGGCTGTAGACCCAGGACTGAGGCTGTAGATCCAGGACTGAGGCTGTAGACCCAGGACTGAGGCTGTAGACCCAGGACTGAGGCTGTAGACCCAGGACTGAGGCAGTAGACCCAGGACTGAGGCAGTAGACCCAGGACTGAGGCAGTAGACCCAGGACTGAGGCTGTAGACCCAGGACTGAGGCTGTAGACCCAGGACTGAGGCAGTAGACCCAGGACTGAGGCAGTAGACCCAGGACTGAGGCTGTAGACCCAGGACTGAGGCTGTAGATCCAGGACTGAGGCTGTAGACCCAGGACTGAGGCTGTAGATGGCCTGTCCCTGTGCATCTAAGAGCACAGGGACAGGTCATCTTTGAGAACTGTTGACCTTTTTCGTTTCATCACATGTATTTTACAGCAGAAGGATTTTGTATCTGAGAAAACGGTTTCTATAAGAGCCATGTCTGTAACAATCCAGCAAAAGTTTTCAAGGACGACTTTTAAAATGTTTGAGAGAATAATCTGCATTCACCCACAATTCTATCTCTGCTGCAAGCTTTTCCATTATCTCCATGACTTCTGTGTCTACCTCTGTGTGTGTGTCTGTCTGTGTGTGTGTCTGTCTATCTCTGTCTCTTTGACCTGTGTCTGTGTGTGTGTGTCTGTCTGTGTGTGTGTGTCTGTCTATCTCTGTCTCTTTGACCTGTGTCTGTGTGTGTCTGTGTGTATCTGTGGGTTTGTGTCTCTCTGTGTGTGTGTGTGTGTGTGTGTGTGTGTGTTTGTGTATATCTCTGTCTCTTTGACCTGTGTGTGTGTGTGTTTGTCTCTTTGGCGTGTGTGTGTGTGTGTCTCTGTCTCTGTGTCCTGTGTGTGTGTATGTATCTGCGTGTTTCTGTCTCTCTGTGTGTGTGTGTGTGTGTCTCTGTCTCTTTGACCTGTGTGTGTGTGTGTTTGTCTCTTTGGCGTGTGTGTGTGTGTGTGTGTGTCTCTGTCTCTGTGTCCTGTGTGTGTGTATGTATCTGCGTGTTTCTGTCTCTCTGTGTGTGTGTGTGTGTGTCTCTGTCTCTTTGACCTGTGTGTGTGTGTGTGTGTTTGTCTCTCTGTGTGTTTGTGTGTGTGTGTGTCTCTGTCTCTGTGTCCTGTGTGTGTGTATGTATCTGCGTGTTTCTGTCTCTCTGTGTGTGTGTGTGTGTGTCTCTGTCTCTTTGACCTGTGTGTGTGTGTGTGTGTTTGTCTCTCTGTGTGTTTGTGTGTGTGTGTGTCTCTGTCTCTTTGACCTGTGTGTGTGCATCTGCGTGTCTGTCTCTCTGTGTGTGTGTGTCTCTGTGACCTGTGTGTGACTTCATGTGTCTATGTGTTTGTGTCTCTGTCTCTCTGTGTGTGTGTGTCTCTGTCTCTGTGTCCTGTGTGTGTGTGTGTGTGTGCGTCTCTGTCTCTTTGACCTGTGTTTTTGTCGCTGTCTCTGTCTCTGTGTGTGTGTGTGTGTGTGTGTGTGTGTTTGTCTCTCTGTCTCTCTGTGTGTGTGTTTGTGTCTCTGTCTCTCTCTGTGTGTGTATCTCTGTTACTTGTGTGTGTGTCTCTGTCTCTGTGTTTTGTGTGAGTGTGTGTATCTCTGTTACTTGTGTGTGTGTGTCTCTCTGTCTCTCTGTGTCCTGTGTGTGTGTGTCTTTCTGTCTCTCTGTGTGTGTTTTTGTGTGTCTCTGTCTCTGTGTCTCAGTTTGAAAGTACCTGAAGGGTCACTAACGATGTCTCGGAGGTAATTTCCCGTGTCTCTCGGGGTTCGTTCTCACCGTGACCTTGGACCGTGTTCTGTTTGTTTATCTCGGTTTTAAGCCGCATAAGCGAGATCATGGAAACACAGGGTTAGCAGCTTTTATGCTCCATATGTAGCTCCCAGAATGCACTGCGGCTGCTGCCATTAGTCAAAGACAGCTCATTAAAGACGATGGCTGAGTGGTTAACCTGAATACCAGTCAGAACAGGCCCTTTCTCAGTTTGCATGTTCTTGTCTCAGTTTCCTCCTGGTGCTCCGGTCTCCCCATAGCACATTTACTGTATTAAAATTTCTGGACAGTGGTCAATGGCTGCTATGTGTTTGTTATTATTGCATTTCCTGTTTGAACTGTTTGATTCTCTGATATGTTGTTGGTGAATCCACAACTTGCCGGGGTTTAGAGCGAGACACAAATATATTTAAATAGATGGAATTGAAAACTCTGTCACATCTTTAGTAGACCAGCTATTTCTGGTCTATCTCTCTCTGGTCTCTCTTTCTTCTTCTGATCTCTCTCTGGTCTCTCTTTCTCTCTGGTTTCTCTCCCACTGGGTCCCCTCGGGTCTTTCTCTGGTCTCTCTCTCGCTGATCTCTCTCTTGTCTCTCTCTGGTCTCTCTGGTCTCTCTGTGGTCTCTCTGTAGTCTCTCTCTGGTATCTCTCTCTGGTCCACTCTGGTCTCTCTCTCTCTCTGGTCTCTCTCTTGTCTCTCTCTGGTCTCTCTTTGTCTTTCTGATCTCTCTCTGGTCTCTATCTGTTCTCTCTGTACTCTCTCTGGTCTCACTCTGGTCTCTCTCTCTCTCTGGTCTACTCTGGTCTCTCTCTCTCTGGTCTCCCACAGTTTTACAAACCTCTATCTGTTGGGACAAACAAAATGTATATCTACATGTATATAAGAAAAAACAAGCTGGATACAAGGCTCTCTCTCTTACTCCCGTCCTCAGCTCTATCCGTCTCTCTGCTTCTCTGTGCTCCAGGCAGTGGTCCTGTCTTGTGAACTAGTCGTCTGTTGTAGGTACATTTCTCGGTGTCGTGTTTGTGCCCTGGAGCCTCTCTTCCTTCTCGCTCCTCTGTGAGTCAGCTCGGCCTCTCACGGCTCCTCCTGAGACTGGAGCAGAGGCTGGGGCAGAGACTGAGGCAGAGACTGAGGCAGAGACTGGAGCAGAGACTGGAGCAGAGACTGAGGCAGAGACTGGAGCAGAGACTGGAGCAGAGACTGGAGCAGAGACTGGAGCAGAGACTGGAGCAGAGGCTGGGGCAGAGACTGGGGCAGAGACTGGAGCAGAGACTGGAGCAGAGACTGGAGCAGAGACTGGAGCAGAGACTGGAGCAGAGACTGGGGCAGAGACTGGGGCAGAGACTGGAGCAGAGACTGAGGCAGAGACTGGAGCAGAGACTGGAGCAGAGACTGGGGCAGAGACTGGAGCAGAGACTGGAGCAGAGACTGGAGCAGAGACTGGAGCAGAGGCTGGAGCAGAGGCTGGAGCAGAGGCTGGAGCAGAGACTGAGGCGGAGACTGAGGCAGAGACTGGAGCAGAGACTGGAGCAGAGACTGGAGCAGAGACTGGAGCAGAGACTGGAGCAGAGACTGAGGCAGAGACTGGGGCAGAGACTGGAGCAGAGACTGGGGCAGAGACTGGAGCAGAGACTGGAGCAGAGACTGGAGCAGAGACTGGAGCAGAGACTGGAGCAGAGACTGGAGCAGAGGCTGGAAGCAGAGACTGAAGCAGAGACTGAAGCAGAGACTGAAGCAGAGACTGGAGCAGAGACTGAGGCAGAGACTGGAGCAGAGACTGGAGCAGAGGCTGAAGCAGAGACTGAAGCAGAGACTGGAGCAGAGACTGGAGCAGAGACTGGAGCAGAGACTGGAGCAGAGACTGGAGCAGAGACTGGAGCAGAGACTGAGGCAGAGACTGGAGCAGAGACTGGAGCAGAGGCTGAAGCAGAGACTGAAGCAGAGACTGGAGCAGAGACTGGAGCAGAGACTGGAGCAGAGACTGAGGCAGAGACTGAAGCAGAGACTGAGGCAGAGACTGAGGCAGAGACTGAAGCAGAGACTGGAGCAGAGACTGGAGCAGAGGCTGAAGCAGAGACTGAAGCAGAGACTGGAGCAGAGACTCGAGCAGAGACTGGAGCAGAGACTGGAGCAGAGACTGGAGCAGAGACTAAAATGGGTTCTTCTGAAAGAGAGACGGAAGCATCAGCATTAAATACATAAAGACAGTGTTTAAGAACAGTATACAATATGGTGTGACTGATGTGAGCGGCAGATGCAGTGTGTGTGTTTGTCTCTCTCTCTGTGTGTGTGTGTGTGTGTGTGTGTGTGTGTGTGTGTGTGTGTATGTGTGTGTGTCTGTGTGTGTTTGTGTGTTAGTGACTGTGAAAGCCTGGTTTTGTTCTCAAACACATACGCACAGACAGACTCCTCTCTTCAGTCTAATGCGTGTCAGTGGTCAGTCATGTTCTGTCCATGTGACACACACACACACACGCACACACACATACTGTATAACACTTCTTCTGATCTTGCGACACACGACATACTGCAATTCCTCTTTTCACGAGTTGGAAAAAACCAAGCAAATCCTGACGTGTGCAGATAGAAGGTGGTTTCCTCTTTTCAGTTCAGTGGAAAAACTTCTCCAAATGTTCTATTCTACAACATGCATCATAATAATCTGGACAGGGCACTCTCAAATATGCTGCAGATACAAGTAAACGTCCCATTGGAGACTTTGGAAGATCCAGTATCAGTCAAGTATTAGAGAAATTAAAGTTGAGATACTTAACTTTCAAACCACACATTAAAAAAGTCACCATAGTTCCTGCTTTTTCTCTAGTCTCTTTCTCTGATGCCTCTCCTTCTGGTCTTGCTCTCGCTGATCTCTCACTCTGTGGTCTCTCTCTCTCTGGTCTATCTCTCTTTCTCTCTCTCTGATCACTCGTTCTCTCTCTCTCTGATCACTCTTTCTCTCTGGTCTCTCTTTTTCTCTCTCTGATCACTCTTTCTCACTGGTCTCTCTGGTCTCTCTCTGTTCTCTCTTTCTCTCTCTCTGATCACTCGTTCTCTCTCTCTCTGATCACTCTTTCTCTCTGGTCTCTCTTTCTCTCTCTCTGATCACTCATTCTCACTGGTCTCTCTGGTCTCTCTCTGGTCTCTCTTTCTCTCTCTGGGATCGCTCGGGTCTACTGTATCTCTCTGGTCGCTCTTTCTTTCTGACTCTCTGGTCTTTCTGTCTCTCTCTGATCACTCTTTCTCTCTGGTCTCTCTCTCTCTCTCTTTGGTGTCTTCCTATTGGAACAAATAATTGTATAACTTATGAAGAAAAACAAGTCAAATACCCCAGCGTTAAGCGAACTGCTGCTTAAAATAGCATTCATTTTCAAACTAGTAGTATAAATAAATTAAATCTAAATTAAACTAACATCGAAGCAAGTAGGATCTAAAGGGTTAAAGAGTATTTCTGAATGAAGCCCCATGTTTTTCCTCTGTTTGGTTTCCTGTTTGTCTAAATGAGAGACTGAAGTTCAGTGACATCGGTACCGGCCGCTGTGAAACTGTCAAACATTTACAAGCGCTCGTTACAACACACGCAAAGTCTGCAGCCTCCAATCTCCCACCGCACCCTCTGCTTCCTCTGCTCGCTCACTAACCACTGCTACGTCTGCGCTACGTCAGTAAACCTGGACCAGGGCTGAGACTGGGGCTGAGACTGGGGCAGAGACTGGGGCTGAGACTGGGGCTGAGACTGGAGCAGAGACTGTGGCAGAGACTGTGGCAGAGACTGGGGCTGAGACTGGAGCAGAGACTGGAGCAGAGACTGTGGCAGAGACTGGAGCAGAGACTGGAGCAGAGACTGGGGCAGGGACTGGGGCAGAGACTGGGGCAGAGACTGGGGCAGAGACTGGAGCAGAGACTGGGGCAGGGACTGGGGCAGAGACTGGGGCAGAGACTGGGGCAGAGACTGGAGCAGAGACTGGAGCAGAGACTGGGGCAGGGACTGGGGCAGAGACTGGAGCAGAGACTGGGGCAGAGACTGGGGCAGAGACTGGGGCAGAGACTGGGGCAGAGACTGGGGCAGAGACTGGAGCAGAGACCAGAGGGAGACAAACCACATCTTTGAATCAGTTTTGAGATTGAGGAACAAGTGACATGGATTATATATTACGTACTTAATTTGATGTTGTTTGAAAAGTTCAGCAGTTTTCAGGATCAGGGCTAAACTGAGTCAAACCAGCCGCACACATGGTACAAGTGCGAACACGTCCTGTAACATGATTCAGTCTGACCCGAATGGCTCCAGACCAGGTCTAAAGCAGCTCTAATCCTGTGTAAAGCCGTCCTTATAGCGTCATTGATCGATGTTTTGGGCGTTTAAACACAGTCATTAGTGCAGTGGAGTGGATCTGGGGCTGCTGTGTTACTCCTGACCTCTCCCTCGGCGAGAACCACCAAATGTGGATCCAAAAGGAGACTGAGAGAGTGCTGCTATTGGACTCTTAGCAAAACCTCCACAGATGCTAACGGCTAAAGTTGGTCATGGTTTTTTTTTTTTTTTTTTTTTTACAGCCGCTGCAAAAGTCAGAGGAGATTTAGATTTGTCCGTCAACCAATCAACATGCAGTAGTTCAATGGAATACAGGAGAAAAGCAGAACTATGTGGCTCGGTTTATTACTGAGGTATACTTCTGCTTATTAGAAAACATGTTCTCTTTAGCGTGAGAAAGAGCCCTGTGAGTCACTATTTGACATTTTGAGCTGAGAGCTGATTGGCGGGTGAGGGTGGTTCTCTCTTTTTCACTTTTCTGTCTGAAATGGGAAAGGAAGACCAGGGTTTTCCTTTGCGCTGGTCTTACCTTTCCCTGGTCTTCCTGGTCTGTCAAGGCCTTAGCGAGCGTTCATCAGTCGTGCAAAATGATCAGTAATTCAATTCTAACTGTGAGCGAGTCCAGTCTCACCTGCTCTCTCTCTCCCCTCTCCTACTCTCTCTCCTCCTCTCTCCTCTTCTCCTTCACTCCTCCTCTCTCTCCTCTTCCTGTCTTCTCTGTGTCAGTGGATACAAGAACCATCTGTGTCTCTGTCCAGTGTTTTATATGGAATCAGTCAATACTCCCACTGTTTCATCATCCCCAATCTCATGTTGAGTCTCCTCTCTTCTCCTCTCTCCTTCTCTCTCCTCCTCACTCCCTCTCTCTTCCTCTTCTCCCCCTTCCCTCTCTCCAGGCTGGACTTTATATCAAAGACACATCTCTCATTAGGAGGTTTGCAGCCTGTGGTGAGGTCATTGGCTTAGGTTGTCTGTAGTCTGATGGATCCAGCTGCCCCTCACCTCCCTCCTCCCTCACCCTCACCCTCACCCTCACACCTGCCCTCACCCCCTCCCTCACCCTCACACCTGCCCCCTCTCCCCCACAGGCTGAGCTCTGATGGGGTCAAGGACAGAAAGCAAATATATGGACTTCATGTTGTTAGTCTGGCATCGGCGCTGCTCATTAGGACGCGTTTTATACTCTCCGAGGGAGTAGCTCTCTCTCTGGTCTCGCTCCCTGGTCCCTCTCTGGTCTCGCTCTCTGGTCTCTCTCTGGTCCCTCTCTAGTCCCTCTCTCTGGTCTCTCTTTCTCTGGTCCCTCTCTCTCTGGTCTCTCGCTCTGGTCTCACTCTGGTCTATATCTCTGGTCTCTCTCTGGTCTTTCTCTGGTCTCTCTCTGGTCTTTCTCTGGTCTCTCTCTGGTCTCTCCCCGGTCTCCCTCTGGTCTCTTTCTGGTCTCTTTCTGGTCTCTCTCTGGTCTCTCTCTGGTCTCTCTCTGGTCTCTCTGAGGTCTCTCTCTGGTCTCCCTCTCTCTGTCTCTCTCTCTGGTCTCTCTGGTCTCTCTGGTCTCTCTCTGGTCTCTCTGAGGTCTCTCTCTGGTCTCTCTCTCTCTGTCTCTCTCTCTGGTCTCCCTCTGGTCTCTCTGGTCTCTCTCTGGTCTCTCTCTCTGGTCTCTCTCTCTGGTCTCTCTCTGGTCTCTCTCTCTCTGGTCTCCCTCTGGTCTCCCTCTGGTCTCTCTGGTCTCTCTCTGGTCTCTCTCTCTCTGGTCTCTCTCTCTGGTCTCTCTCTCTGGTCTCTCTGGTCTCTCTCTGGTCTCTCTCTCTGGTCTCTCTGGTCTCTCTCTGGTCTCTCTCTCTCTGGTCTCTCTCTCTGGTCTCTCTGGTCTCTCTCTGGTCTCTCTCTGATAACACAGCAGTAAACTTCCTCTTTGTTTCCAGGCCACGGTTTGAAGCTGATAACTGCACTATCAGAGAGTGGGCACTGGCACACAGCTCTATACTCAACCCTGTGTGTGTGTCTCTAATTGTGTGTGTGTGTGTGTGTGTGCGCGCGCATCTTTCTATGTGGGTGTGTGTGTATTTGGACAGTGGTGGAAAGCGATGCTTCTCAAATTGTGATATAGAGCATTCTCACTGGTCCCTCTCTGGTCTCTCCCTCTGGTCTCTCTCTCTCGTCTCTCTCTCTCGTCTCTCTCTATGGTATTTCGCTGGTGTCTCTCTCTGGTTCCCTCCCTGGTCTCTCTCTAAACTCTCTCTGGTCTCCCTCTGGTGTTCCTCTCTGGTCTCTCTCTGGTCTCTCTCTGGTCTCTCTTCTCTCTCAATGGTGTCTCTCTCTGGTGTCTCTCTCTTGTCTCTCCCTCTGGTGTCTCTCTCTGGTATCCCTCTCTCTCGCTGGTCTCTCTCTGGTCTCTCTCTTCTCTCTCAATGGTCTCTCTCTCTGGTGTCTCCCTCTGGTGTCTCTCTCTGGTCTCTCTCTGGTCTCTCTCTGGTCTCTCTCTGGTCTCTCTCTGGTCTCTCTGCACAGTCTCAAATTAACAGTTGACATTTATTGAGCGAAACATACAGGTCTGTTGGTGGCGTCTCATTGGTTGAACCCTCTCCTCCTGGAGGTTGTTTGCGCGCCGTGGGACGTCCTGTTCTGGACACAGGCCTCAGAGGAGTCAGAGCTGTGTCAGTGACTTTGGAAAGGGCAGCTGGTCATCAGGCTGTTTAGCAAAGTAATCAACATTTTAATTAATGCCACTCATTCCAGAATATCAATCGCATTCCTCTATTGTCTGCAGCAGGAGTGGAGTTTAGGGGTGAGTTTGGGGGTGAGTTTGGGGGTGAGTTTGGGGGTGAGTTTGGGGGTGAGTTTAGGGGTGAGTTTGGGGGTCAGTTTGGGGGCGAGTTTAGGGGTGAGTTTGGGGGTGAGTTTTGGGGTTCACTAATATATATGTAATAATTCCACCAGCCCTCCCCTACCCTTCTCTACTCTACTCCACTCTACTCTACCCTACCCTACCCTAGTCTATTCTACTCTTACTCTACTCTAATCTACTCTACCCTACCCTACCCTACTCTACTCTACTCTACTCTACTCTACCCTACTCTACCCTTCTCTTCTCTACTCTACTCTACTCTAACCTACCCTACTCTACTCTACTCTACTCCTACCCTACTCTACCCTACCCTACTCTACTCTACTCTACCCTACCATACCCTACCCTACCCTACTCTACTCTACTCTACTCTACTCTACTCTACCCTTCTCTACTCTACTCTACTCTACTCTACTCTAATCTACTCTACTCTACTCTACCCTACCCTACTCTACTCTACTCTACTCTACCCTACTCTACCCTTCTCTTCTCTACTCTACTCTACCCTACCCTACCCTACTCTACTCTACTCCTACCCTACTCTACCCTACCCTTCCCTACCCTACCCTACTCTACTCTACTCTACTCTACTCTACCCTACTCTACCTTACTCCTACTCTACTCTACCCTACTCTACCTTACTCCTACTCTACTCTACTCTACTCTACTCTACCCTACTCTACTCTACTCTACCCTACTCTACTTCACTCTAATCTACTCTACTCTATTCTACCTGGTTGTGTTTCCATTACATATTAGTACCACTGTATCCTATCATTTAATATTTATAATGTATAATTCCGGAGCTCCCTCTCCTTTGAAAATGTCGTTATGTGAGTCTCAGTTGAAGTGAAGAGTTTTCTTTCTTTCTGAGCTCATGAACTGAAGAGGTGTGTCTAAGGCCCTGTCCACACGAAGTCAAGCTCAGGCCTAAACGCAAAGTTTAGGGGTGAGTTTGGGGGTCAGTTTGGGGGCGAGTTTGGGGGTGAGTTTGGGGGCGAGTTTGGGGGTGAGTTTGAGGGCGAGTTTGGGGGTGAGTTTGGGGGCGAGTTTGGGGGTGAGTTTGGGGGTGAGTTTGAGGGGGGTGAGTTTGGGGGTGAGTCAGATGTTATTGGCTCTTTGTTGCTATGAGATTTTGGGGTTCACTAATATATATGTAATAATTCCACCAGCCCTCCCCTACCCTTCTCTACTCTACTCTACTCCACTCTACTCCACTCTACTCTACCCTACCCTACCCTACTCTATTCTACTCTTACCCTACTCTACCCTACTCTATTCTACTCTACCCTTACCCTACTCTACGCTACTCTACTCTACTCTACTTTACTCTTATCCTACTCTACTCTAATCTACTCTACTCTACCCTACCCTACCCTACTCTACTCTACTCTACCCTACTCTACCCTTCTCTTCTTTACTCTACTCTACTCTACTCTACTCTAACCTACCCTACTCTACTCTACTCTACTCTACTCCTACCCTACTCTACCCTACTCTACTCTACTCTACCCTTCTCTACCCTACCCTACTCTACTCTAATCTACTCTACTCTACCCTACCCTACCCTACTCTACTCTACTCTACTCTACTCTACCCTACCCTACTCTACTCTACTCTACTCTACTCCTACCCTACTCTCCCCTAGTCTACTCTACTCTACCCTACTCTACCCTACCCTACCCTTCTCTACTCTACTCTACTCTACTCTAATCTACTCTACTCTACCCTACCCTACCCTACTCTACTCTACTCTACTCTACCCTACTCTACCCTTCTCTTCTCTACTCTACTCTACTCTACCCTACCCTACTCTACTCTACTCTACTCTACTCCTACCCTACTCTCCCCTAGTCTACTCTACTCTACCCTACTCTACCCTACCCTACCCTACCCTACCCTACTCTACTCTACTCTACCCTTCTCTACTCTACTCTACTCTACTATACTCTACTCTATTCTACCCTACTCTACTCTACTCCTACCCTACTCTACTCTACTCTACCCTACTCTACCTTACTCCTACTCTACTCTACCCTACTCTACCTTACTCCTACTCTACCCTACTCTACTCTACTCTACCCTACTCTACTCTACTCTACCCTACTCTACTTCACTCTAATCTACTCTACTCTATTCTACCTGGTTGTGTTTCCATTACATATTAGTACCACTGTATCCTATCATTTAATATTTATAATGTATAATTCCGGAGCTCCCTCTCCTTTGATAATGTTGTTATGTGAGTCTCAGTCGAAGTGAAGAGTTTTCTTTCTTTCTGAGCTCATGAACTGAAGAGGTGTGTCTAAGGCCCTGTCCACACGAAGTCAAGCTCAGGCCTAAACGCAAAAATACTTTATCAATCCAGTGTATCGTCCATACGAGGCCGGCGTTTTTGGGGGGGTGTAAACGAACATTTTTGAAAGTAGGTCCCCGAGTGGAAAGATTTCAAAACTCCGTATATGCCGCTCCGTGGTTACTGCCTCTCCGCAATGTATCTGAGACGCTTGCGTCATCGCCCCGCCTCTTGTTAAAGCACGCATGCGCCGCACTCAGAAAATAATGACAACAACAATGGCGCCGTACAGTGTTGCTTGTGTCCTGTTGAAGCAAGTGAGCCTACTAACGCTATTATAGCAAAATATCCTTTTATTCTGCGCATGCCCAGTTCCCGTCACGGAAGTTTGGGCTTGATCCCGTCATTGCGTCACAGCGCCACCAACAGGTCTGGCATAGTTTCACAGCGTTTTCAGGCGTATTGACTACATTCATATGGACGCACACATTTACTGAGCTAACTCCGTGTTTACAGAAAAAGTTTCTGAAATTATAAGCGTTTTGTCTTTGTGTGGATATAGCCTAAATCCGCCGGAGTCAAGACATGCCCCGCCCCCCACCCCAGATAGCCCCGCCCCCTCACCCCGCTAACCACGCCCCCCTCTGGTATGACAAACATTCTCTACCTGCTCCAACGAGAACAGAGCTCTCTGTATCACCTAGAGTTACACCATAGAGCACACGGCACAAACGTATTCTATCACTCCTCACTTCTTCCTCACCTCCTCCTCACCTCTGCACCAATCTATTTGTATAGTACATTTTATGAACAGTTTCAAAAGTGCTGCACATAGACACATCCACAGTAAGCTCATACGTCACACACCAAAAACATTTAAAAACATGAAAACAGATAGAAGTAGCTATGAATAAATAACTACTACTACTACTACAACTACTACTACTACTACTACTACTACTGCTGTTAGTGCTACTACTACCACTACTACTATTTCTACTACTGCTGCTGCTGCTGCTACAGTATTCATCGCCTGCTTCTGTTTCCTTCCGCCTCAAACCTGCTCAGAACTTTCCTATCACCTTTGCACGCATTCTTGATTCAGTCACACTTCGCCTCCCCCTTCCCCCCTCCTCCCCCTCCCCTCTCACCCCTCTCCTCCTCTTCGCTCCCTTGCTTTCTGTTTATCCACACTCATTGTCAAATACTCCAGTCCTCCGCTGCCTCAGAATCGCTCTCCCCCTCTCCCCCCTCCCGCCTGCTGTCCCCCTCCTCCCCCCTTCTCTCTCACCTCTCCGCTGCAGTAATGACATGGCTTGAGGTTTGCCCTGTTCCCTGTGTAAAACAATAGACCTCAGCGTGACCCACATATCTGCGGCTGTAGTGAGTGGGATATGAGAGGCTTTTAGACATAACGGGGTGAGGGGGGGGGGACATGGGGGTTGAGGGGGGTGTCACGGAAGTTTCCTGAAGTTTTATAAAGCAGAAAGAACTGTGTATTTTTCCTGATGCATGGTCGGCCACTGGCTTGTTATTGTTGTAGGGCTTTCTTGTTTAAAGTTGTGGTACCTAACTTTCAACAACACAAAAAGGGAATTATACATATCTGCTCTACTCTACTCTACTCTACTCTACTCTACTCTACTCTACCCTACCCTACCCTACCCTACCCTACCCTACTCTACTCTACTCTACTCTAGTCTTCTCTACTCTACTCTACTCTACTCTAGTCTTCTCTACTCTACTCTACTCTACTCTAATCTATTCTAGTCTTCTCTACTCTACTCTACTCTACTCTACTCTACTCTAGTCTAGTCTTCTCTACTCTTCTCTAGTCTTCTCTACTCTACTCTACTCTACTCTAGTCTTCTCTACTCTACTCTACTCTACTCTACTCTAATCTACTCTAGTCTTCTCTACTCTACTCTACTCTACTCTACTCTACTCTAATCTACTCTACTCTACTCTACTCTACTCTACTCTACTCTACTCTAGTCTTCTCTACTCTTCTCTAGTCTTCTCTACTCTACTCTACTCTACTCTAGTCTTCTCTACTCTACTCTACTCTTCTCTACTCTAGTCTTCTCTGCTCTGCTCTACTCTACTCTACTCTACTCTACCCTACCCTACCCTACCCTACCCTACCCTACCCTACCCTACTCTACTCTACTCTACTCTAGTCTTCTCTACTCTACTCTACTCTACTCTACTCTACTCTACTCTACTCTAGTCTTCTCTACTCTACTCTACTCTACTTTACTCTACTCTACTCTAGTCTTCTCTGCTCTGCTCTACTCTACTCTACTCTACTCTACTCTACTCTACTCTAGTCTTCTCTACTCTACTCTACTCTACTCTACTCTTCTCTAGTCTTCTCTACTCTACTCTACTCTACTCTACTCTAGTCTTCTCTACTCTACTCTACTCTACTCTACTCTACTCTACTCTAGTCTTCTCTGCTCTGCTCTACTCTACTCTACTCTACTCTGCTCTACTCTACTCTACTCTACTCTACTCTACTCTACTCTAGTGGTATTGTACTCCCACACCCCAACCACATGATCTCAATGGCAGTGCCGCTCGCTACTTTCCACTCTTCAGAACAAAAACAATGGCGAACTAAGCTGTGTGAGATTGATGATCACGTTCTCAGACTCTCATTAAATGTGTATTCTTGGCGTTTATGTGCTTAGTTTATATGTTTAGTTTATGTGACGGTACAGCAGACTCACTGTTTCATAACTAATTTTAACCGTGATGCTGTGAATAAAGACACACTTCTTCTTGGAAACAGATGATTATTATTACATTGTTTTGTGCACAAACAAGTAAAACAATAAGTGATAAATATCTGAGACCAAACTATTTACAAATGCAGGAGGAATCCAACAAGATGCAGACGCGATAAGCTCCACATGCAGATTTAATCAAAGACACAGGCTTCACATTTTTTGATTATTTGACTTCATTCTGCTTTAACTTGTTTGCACCGAAAGCCTTTCCTAGTTTCCTTGTTTGTGACTTCTTACTCACATGGCGATAAAAGGATTCTGATTCTGATATAAATGTGCGGTGCGATATGCAACCAAAACCTTAGTCTACAGCCAAAAACCACGAGCCCAAACTGTTTTTCCTTCTGCCCCGAAGTGCCTCGTCCATGTTTTACCACAGCTGTTCCGTGCTTCTATCCTAAACGTCATTGCACACGGCCCAATCACAGGGGTCCTTGAGGTCTTGCGGTGATCCTTGCGTTGGTCATGTGACGAGAGCCACCTCATGCGTGAGTTTACTTCCTACTTTAAGTGTAATGGAAGCGTCTTAGCAACCTACCCACGACAAATCAGCATCAGGGGAAGTTCCTGTTGGTGAATTTAGCACCAGCTCAGCCTGGATTGAACCAGGGACTTAAGACCTCTCCCTCCCTTAAGGATCTCTCTCTCTCTGTGTATCTCTCTCTCTCTATCTCATTCTCTATGTGTCTATCTCGATGGTTCTCTCTCTCTCTATCTCATTCTCTGTGTGTCTATCTCGATGGTTCTCTCTCTCTCTATCTCATTCTCTGTGTGTCTATCTCGATGGTTCTCTCTCTCTCTATGTCTCTCTCTCTCTATCTCATTCTCTATGTGTGTATCGCTATGGTTCTCTCTCTCTCTATCTCATTCTCTGTGTGTCTATCTCGATGGTTCTCTCTCTCTATCTCATTCTCTGTGTGTGTATCGCTATGGTTCTCTCCCTTTCTCTATGTCTCTCTTCCGCTTTGTCTTTTCTCTCTCTGTCTCTCTCTATGGTTCTCTCTCTATGGTTCTCTCTCTCCATGTCTCTCTGTCTCGCCCTC